ATTCTCAAGGCCCACCCATGTTGTCCCAAATGGCAGTATTTCATCCTTTCTTATTATGGCTGAATAGCATTCCATAGTATGTATGTACTACATACATCTTTATCCAAATTATCTATCGAAGGACACTTCAGTTGTCTCCATGTCTTGGCCACCTTGAATAATGCTGTAGTGAACATAGGGGTGTACATATATCATTATGAATACATTTTTTTGATTTTTTGGGGGGACTGCTGGTTCATATGGTAACTCTATTCTTAATTTTTTGAGCAACCTCCATACTGTTTTCCATAATGGCTGTACCAGTTTACATTCCCACCCACCCTTTCTTCACAACCTCTCCAGTACTTGTTAATACTTGTCTTGTTGATAATAGCCATTCTAACAGGTGTGAGATAGTGTCTCATTATAGTTTTGATTTGCATTTCCCTTATAGCTAGTGAAGTTGAACATCTTTTCATAAATCTGTTGGCCATTTGTATGACCTCGTGGGAGAAGTTTCTGTTCAGTTCCTCTGCCCATTTTTAATTAGATTGTTTGTTTGGTGTTGAGTTGTATGAGTTCTTTAGAAATTAAGCCTTTGTTAGAGCTGTCATTTGCAAATATCTTCTCCCATTTGGTTGTTGCCTTTTTGCTGTCGTTTGTTTTTGCTGTGAAGAAGCTTTTGAGTTTAATATAGTCCCATTCATTTATTTTTGCCTTTACTTTCCTTGTCTTTGGGGTCAAATTCATAATATATTCTCTACTATTTCTTTTTTATTTGCCTTATACTTTTGTTCATCTATATGTCACTTCTTTCGTGTTCATTTTTTTATTGTACAGTTTTGATTTCTGTGTTGCTTTTATTGTTTTTACTATACTTTTGAGTAATTTTCTTAGTGATTGTTCTACAAAGTGTAATATGTACCTTAGTTTATTATTGTCTACTAGCTGAATAATACTAGCAGAACTCTGGTAAAATATACAAACTTTGTTCCAGTTTGTCTCTTTTTCTTTTTCTTTTTCAAGATATTTTTATTGATTTCAGAGAGGAAGGGATAGGGAAAGAGAGATAGAAACATCAATGATGAGAGTCATTGATTGGCCGCTTCCTGCACGCCCCTTACTGGGGATTGAGCTGCAACCTGGGTATGTGCCCTTGACCGGAATTGAACCTGGAACCCTTCAGTCCACAGGCTGACGCTCTATCCACTGAGCCAGATTGGCTAGGGCAGTTTCTCTCTTTTTCTTTCCCCTTCCTTTATGCAATTCATTGTCATATATGTTTGATCCTTGTATGTTTTAAACCTAGCTATACACAATGTTAAATTATGCAATCTTATGTTTTCTAAAGAGTTTAAGAGAAGAAATGAGAAAAATATTAAGAGTCTTCTTTTTGTTGTTGTTAACCCCCACCTGAGGATATTTTTTTCATTGCTTTTCATAGAGTGTGGAAGGGAGGAAAGGGAGGGAAGGAGGGAGGGAGGGAGGGAGGGAGGGAGGGAGGGAGGGAGAGAGAGAGAGAGAGAGAGAGAGAGAGAGAGAGAGAGAGAGAGAGAAACATCGATGTGAGACTGGTTGCCTCCTGCATGTGCCCCGACCAAGGTCAGGAAGCCAACCCACAACTCAGGTACATGCCCTTGACCGGAATCAAACCCAAGACTCTTCAATGTGCGGGCCGACACTGTAACTACTGAGCAACACCAGCCAGGGCTTAATAGAGTCTTATATCTAACTAATATTTACCATTTGTGGTACTTATTTTCTTCTTGTGGATTCAAGTTAATCATCCATGTGTCTCATGAAGGACTTTGTGTAGCATTTCTGGTAAGGCACATTTTCTAGCAACAGATTCTCTTTTAAAAAAATTAATGGAATGTCTTTTTTTCCTCTTTCAGTTTTGAAGAGTAGTTTCTGGTTATCGAATTCCTGGCTGATAATCCCCCTCCCACATCCTTTCTGCACTGTGGACATTCCACTGCTTCTGGCCTTCATCGTTTATGAGGAGAAGCCAGCTGTTTACAGTGTTCTTCTCTGTGTATGATGAATTTTGTTGTTTGTTACTTTCAAGTTTTCCTCTTTGTCATTGAGCAGTTTGAATACTATGTATTTAGGTGTGGATCTCTTTGTATTAACCCATTTTTAGTTTTTTTTTTTTAAACTTTTTGGATAATAAAGAATAGTTATTTTGCTTTTTATCAAATTTGGGAAGTTTTAGGCCATTATATTTGAAATATTTTTGGCACTTCTTTCTCTTGTCCATTGCAAATATGTTGGTAAGCTTGATGTTGTTTCATAGCTTTCTGAGGCTCTGTTAATTTTTCTTTGATCTTTTTTTCTCTCTGTTCCTTGGATTGCTTAAACTCCATTGAGCTATCATCAGCTGTACTGATTTTTTCTTGGCTACCTCAGATTTGCTGTTGAACCTGTCTAGTAAATTTTTTCATTTCATTTATTGTGCTTTTTAACTCCAGAATTTCCATTTTGTTTTCTTTTTTTAATAATCTATATCTCTTTATCAATATTCCTTATTTGTTGAGTTATCATTGTCATACTTTATTTTAATTCTTTTAAAAATATATTTTTATTGATTTCAGAGAGAAAGGGAGAGGGAGAGAGAGATAGAAACATCAATGATGAGAGAGAATCATTGATCGGCTGTCTCCTGCACACCTCCTTCTGGGGATTGAGCCTGCAACCTGGGCATGTGCCCTTGACTAGAATCGAACCCAGGACGCTTCAGTCCACAGGCCGATGCTCTATCCACTGAGCCAAACCGGCTAGGGCTTTATTTTAATTCTTTAAACATGGTTTCCTTTAGTTACTTGAATTTACCCTATTAAATCTAACATTTGGAGACATTTGAGACAGATTTGATTGACTGCTTTTTTTCTGAGTATGGGTGACACTTTATTGTTTCTCTCCAAGTCTCCAAGTTTTCTGTTGATATTTTAGATTTCAGATAATGGAATTTAGAAATTTTGGATTCTGATTTTTGTTGTTCCTGGGTTGTTATTTTTGTTTTGTTTGTTGTTGCTTTTTAATGAGTGGTCTGGAATAAATCTGTGAAGGCTGTCTCTCCCATATTGTGTGGCTGCTGATGTCTCTATTCAAGTTTGTTTTTTATTTGTTTTCTTATTGCTTTTAAGCCCCGCTTCTTAGGGTTCACTGCTGAGGAAGAATAGTTTTGTGTTCAGCTAAAGATTGGTCAGAGGTTGACGTCAAGTCAGTGAAGCTTTCACTCTGCTAATGGATCTGTGTGTGGATCTGGGGAGCACATTCATATTTCAGGCACTTTCATGTCTGCTGTGTCTTTTACTTTCAGCTGGACCCCCTGGCATCATCTTTGTGTGTGTAGAAGTGATCTCTGTCAGCAAGGGATGTAGGTGGTATGAGCCCACTTTGGTGTATGTGATGAATGTGCAGAATTCTGGTCAACCTGGGATATCTGTAGAGAGTTTATCAAGGGCACTATGGTTGTCTCACCTCCCAGACTCCCTGTTGAAATATAGCTAGTCTCCTGGTCTCTTGCTTGCTTTTAACAAACCTTCCGTGTCAGGCTAGCAGAACCTCTATCTAGCCTTTGTGTTTTCCTGTTGCTGGGATTGCCACTTTAAGGGACAGTGCTCCATTTCTAGTGAGCCTGGCCTGGCAGTGTTCTCAGCTCAGCCCTTTCAGTTGAACTATTGCACTTGATGGAACTGGCAGCAAGGGGATGGAAGCAGCCTCATGCAGTAGTGCCATAGGCTTGTTTTGTGCTGATCTTACCTGAAGTTCATGGAGAAGCACAGCTCATGATTTGTGTATGTCTTGGGTTGATTTTCACACTGCTAAATTGGTCCTAATTTTGAGTTTTGTCTAGCATCCTAAGTTCTGTTTTAGGGAGGAGATTTGTCAACATCCTCATTTTGCCATTGCTACATTTTCTCAGAAGGTATTCTGAGCATCCTTTGGTGGCAGGTACCATCCTGGACAGGCCCTGAGAACATCAAACTGCACAGTGTATTTGGACAAGCTTCTTACTGAGGACTGCTCATAGGGACCCATCAATTTGACCCAAAATCTAGTTAGTTACTTTTTAAAAGATAAAAAGTAAGATGATTGTGCTTTCAGAATATTGTTGCAGCCATTATCGATATTTTCAATTCATAATACTTATACTGATAACTTTTGTACCCAACCTTCTGTTGTTGAGAGTGTGATTTAATGGGGAAAACGGGCAAGTGAGGATTTTGGAGTTGTGGAATTGGGATTGAATTTTGATTCTGTGACTAACTAGATCTGTCATTTGCAGGTTATTTGATCCCTCTGAGTCTATGCTTCCTCACCTTAAATTGTGAATAAGAATATCTACCTGGATTTATTGTAAAGAATACATAGAACATAGAATACCTGGTATATAGTAGGTATTTAGTAAGTGGTAGTCTAGCCACCCAACATGTTGTGGCTGGGAATATAGTTGTGGTAACTTTTTCTTTATCAGATTATCTACTTCTTGCTTTATCTAGCTTTGCTTTTAAGTTTTTTTTCTTTTTATAGAATAATGTTGGTACTTTGTATAGTAAGTGAAACATACACTGTATTTTCCTCAGAGTACATTTTGGTTCAATGCTCTTTCCAGATATCCCAGTGTTCCCAATATTTTATAGTTATTTCCTTTCTAAAATCTAAATTTTATGTGCTTATAAGTGACAATGAAACTTTTTATGGCCACTTTATGGTGATTGAGCTCATATATACATCGGGACCCTGAATAAAGTTTGGTTACAATGTTGATGAGATGCTGTAAGAACTTAACTCTTGTTTATATCAATTAGCCTATAGTAACATTGGTTTTGTTACCATCCTTTGCTGAAAGTCTCAGAACCTATTGATAATGTTAAGTGATTTACTGTGTATAAGATTGTCTTATGGGAAGGTCTATAAAATGAAAGAACAGTAGTAGTTCATTATCTAGACAATTCAGGACATGATTGGAAGGGTCAAAACAAGGTATCTGGTAGAGATAAATACTTTTTTTTTTTAAACATTAAGTCTATATAATGGCTTGTCTCAAAGAGGAGAGCATATCACAATAGGCTAGACTTTGTTGCTATAGCAAGTTCAGTTTGTGTTAGACAGTTTGGATCATCTGCCACAGAGTGTGGCTTACAGTAGAGATACAGAAAGTTTCTTGGGTCTTGCAGGACCAGAGCTCACTCTGGTCAACCTCTGAGGCTCTGTCCCATGATATTTAAGTTAATGTGGAGGAACTGGTATGGGGTTACTTCAGGTTCTAATGTCATTTTTGGTTTTAGAGAGGATATGATTGGGCTATGGCACATTCAGATCCTCTTAATAATTATCATACTTTTTCATATGATTCTTAGAACTGAGAAGTTAACAATTCCTCTTAACATTTTACTTCACTTTAGCAAGTGCCTTATGCCAGAATATTTTATATGCTTTTTATTACATTTTTAAAATCAAATTTTTAGACACTGCCTTTTCTTTTTTGGAAGCCTTTAATTTCTTCTAAAGAATGTGTTTGTTGTGAATAATGTGCTTATCAAAAGTAATTCTTGAAAATAAAGTACTTGAATAGCTATAAATGTCACAATATTGACATTGCAGAATCTAGACATACAGAAAATAGAGATTCAGAACTTCTTTATGATGAAGTGAACTCAGGAAGTTGCTGGTTACATGGTGGATGGGATTATGTAGATGTTTTACAGGCAGTCACCTGTAATTGCACTTGGAATTACAGCCTTGTGCTGTCTGGAATGAGGTCTGTTTTAACAACTCATAAATGCCCCTAACAAACATGATACAGCCACAGTTCTATAGTGCAGTAATAGACTTTGTAAATGGCCTTTTAGCACCTGCATTTGTTGCAAGAATGAAGTGTGGAGTTATAATATGCATGTCATTTCTATGAAATACTGATACAAGTCTGTCTCTTGAGACAGGTCTATTGCAGGTTTATAAAATGATTACTTTTCCTCCCTTAGGCTTTAAAAACCATATTTTTGGCAATGATATTTTTGGCAGTACCTATGATAAATTTTTTAGAAGAGTTTTATTAAATGAAGTAAGGATTTAGACTTTTCTGTGTAGATTGGATATTTTTCCTTGCGCACTCAGGAAAACTGTGCAAGACTTCATGCCCTTTGAGTGCTGTGGAGGATGCCAAAGTGACTGTGGCAGAAATGCCAGCCTCAAGGCATGCCGTTCAATAGGAGTGGTGAGACAAGCTCCTGACCATTACACATACAAAGTGGTAAGTCTCATGGGGCAACTAGAGCTGCCAGGAGAGACTGGGAAGGGAAATAGTGCTTTCTGATTCAATGTGAAAGCTACCCCCAAACCCCAAGAATTCTCTTTACTTTCTTTGTCGTACTGAACTAATTCTCCAAGTCCCCATTTTAGTGTGTAAAACCTACACACACACACACACACGCACACACTTTTTTATTTATTTATTTTTTTAATATCCCTGCGTTTTGGGAGCCTGGAGGAGAAGAAAGGAATTCAGTGGTGAGAGACTTGGCTAAGAGTAGCTTGGACAATTGGTGTGGTTTCTCCATTTGAGGGTTGGGCCAGGCTCCATGTGGCATCTGACCTAACATGTCACTGGAAAAGCCCTGTAAGTACAGGATCTCGACAAAAATATCCTGGAAAAAAACACTAGTAAGCTCAGGGGTTGGACACATTAGATTTGGAAAAATTACCATTTGTGTGAATCAAGACCTTGCTACCAAATGTATGAAGAACTACTGACACCTCATGGATGTGGATATTATTATTTTTAGTGATATAAAGTATGTAAGCACATATAGCAGAGTCTGTCTATGAATGATTACATATACTACTATATGGTCTTGGCTCAGGTTGATCCGTGAGTTTCATCTGAGAAAGTGAAAGCTGTTCATCATGTGTTCAAGATATTTGAAAAATAAAGTTGGAATATGTCCAGTTGAACAGCTAAATTTTTCCAAATGTATTCATATCTATTCTATAGAATTCTGCTAATAGGACTTAGTGAAGTGAAAACAAGGTAGCATTTAAATAATTCATTATTCTTTTCAAATTTTATACATTATTGTTTTAGGAAAGAATTATGATCATGCTTTTCTTTTTTAATATATATTTTTATTGATTTCAGAGAGGAAGGGAGAGGGAGAGAGATATAGAAACATCAGTGATGAGAGAGAATCATTCATGGACTGCTTCCTGCACAACCCCCACTGGGGATCGAGCCGCAACCCAGAAATGTGCCCTGACTGCAAATCGAACCATGACCTCCTAGTTCATAGGTCGATGCTCAGCCACTGAGCCACGCCAGTCGGGCTCTTTTATTTTTTAATGATATAATGAGAATAGTTCAGAGAGATGGAGTGTAAGAATCCATTGATAGGTATATCGAAATAAATCTAATTATAATGAAAAAATTGCATATAGTTTATTTTACTTTTCATGTATCCCTTGTTCTGTGGTCTCGTATGTATATATCAATAAAATTGGTTGTTTCCAAAAATCTATTTCTAATGGGAATCTTATTTTTTAATATTTACAATTTTGGAATTGTTCTTATACATACATTAACATACACACATAAGTAGGGAAGGATCATTTAAAAACAATGTTGGGATTAACTGAGTAGGTGGTTTAGGGGGTAAAGTACTGAAACTTCAACCCATAAGTTAAAATAAATTTTAAAGAGTATACATATACATATATATATACACACATATACATATATAATCAAAATATAGAAAAAAAGTAGAAAATGTAAAAGAACATTCAGACCACTGGAGAGCTTCCTCTCTTAGATGTAGAGAGTTAGAATGCAGAAATAAAAATATATCTCACACTGGATAGATGAAATTAATATTAAAAATACAGCTTATTCTAATATATGAGAAGATATAATAGGTAAATAGACGAAAGAAATTATAAATGGTGAACTAATATGTGGAAAAATTACTCTCAGTAATAAAATATGAGAATGGGAACAGTGTGGAGATAATAATTTTTATTCACCAATGCATTTGACACTTATTTTTACATCATTTCTCCTGAGGTTGTGTGGAACAATGTAGTCATTTGTTGTTGGTGACATGGTGAAGCTCTTTATGCAGATGTTTTATTTCTTGAAATGTATCCCAAAGAAATAATTAGAGACAAAATGATATTTGCCCAGACATATTCACTTTAGTGTTATCTTAGTAGCAAAATAGTGGAAATGCCCTTTAAATTAGAATAGTAAATTGATCCTCTGTACCAACAGACTTTTAAAATGATAGTTTTGGAGCTCCTGTGGAAATATGAAAAATGATTGCTATATTTAAAATTGTGTAGTATAGAATGTATAATTATATGGTTTTTGTGGAAATGCTTTTGTTGGGTGGCAGCAGTATGAGAATTTTAAATTATTTTAGACATTGAGCATTTGCTAAGTGACTCTTCAGTCTAATTCATCACCCTGTGTTCTGGGCACTGCTCTCTAGCCCAGGGATGCTAAGCTTCTTAGGTGATTTTATATGGTCAGATAGATAGATACTTAAAGAGCTAACAACATTTTAGAAGAGTGGCTTTCCAGAGAAGAGGATATGTGAGTGGGGTCTTAGAGAAGATTAGAAGTTGGCCAGATCATCTGGGAGGATCGTCTGAGTAGAGATAAAGGCGTGGTGTGTGAGTCGGGGGATGTGTGTAGTTACAGGATCATCTTATTCTCAGGGTGAATTTAACAGTGAGGAGTTGGAGAGGAGGCACAGATAGGGTGGTGAAGACCAGGTCATAGAGGGTGTGTATGCAATTTGAAGGATGGAAAAGAACTGCCTTATTTTCACCTCATGCAGCTTTCCTTCTTCTTTCAGAGTACAGTACACATTATTAGTCTTGTTAGTTGTGCTCCATTCTTATAATTGTTGAACAGTTATGGTTGTCTGGCTATTCAGCAAACACAAATGAAGTGCACAGAATCAAAACACACTTGTCTGTTTACATTTGTGTATTTGCTATAGTGGTCATTCATATATTGACTAGTGATGATCGTCTTGAGACTGTACATGAATCAGTGGCAAAAATTAAATGTTCTTGACTCCTGATCTATGAAACTATAGTCCTTTCTGCATTTTATTGCTGAGCTGTAGGTTATGGCTGAATATGAACACACAGGGTGGGGCAAAAGTAGGTTTACAGTTGTGAGTATGCAAAACACAGATTTTATTATTGTATTTGTTATTTATTAATGTTATTATTTTCCATATGAACAACTATAAACCTACTTTTGCCCCACCTTGTATTTGTGGATAATACAGTTTTATGTGGTTGGAAACAAGTTTTATTGGATGGAAAGTATTCTGTGTATATAGCATATTTTTCCATGTATAAGACACTATTTTTTCTAAAATCATTAGACTGAAAATCGAAGGGCGTCTTATACACGGAAGTCAGCCGAGGAGAGAGCCACTGGGATGTGTAGCTGCCTATACCTTGTCAAACAGGCTTCCTCCAATCACGAGCCTTATTGTTACTGACACCAGCTGATGCCGTAATTAGAGATGGAGGTGGAGAGTGCGTAGATGCAACAGGGATCTGAGTGTTCTGAGCCCATAAAGATATCAAAAAATAAACAGAAAAAATACCGGTCAGCGATTGTCTTACTCTGCAAAATTCAAACTGAATGTAATCAGCTATGCAAAAGAGCATGGAGATAGAGCTGCAGAGAGCCAATTTGGATCTCCTCCCACTGAGTGTATGATCAGACAGTGGAGAAAACAGGAAGAACAACTCCTTAAGATGCCAAAAAAAGAAGAAGGCCTAATGAGGAAAACCAGCAAAATGTTTAAAATATTGATTTCTTAATTTTGGGTTGGAAAAGTCGGGGGTGGGGGGGACATCTTATACATGGGAAAATATGGTAATATATTGTAGTAGTGAGTATTATTTTCTTTAAATTCTCCAACATTATAAAATCTAAGTGATAAGTCCTACCATTTATTGTGTGTTCGTTTTTAAAGCATGCTATATAGGAACAATTAAGCATGGTATATCTCTTAGGACATTATACCATGTACTATGTTTTAATGTTTTGATCTATCAATGTCCTTTCTATTGAAGGCAAATAATAGTAGTCACTAGATGCCTTCATAAAGAAGCAGAG